AAGGAGCCAAGGCACGGGAACCCAAGAACCATCCACGGAAAGGAATAGACAAGAAGAAGAAGAAGAGACAAAATAATAAGCTACTAATAAATTAATAAATGATCTAAAAACATAGCTCATAATGAGCTAACTCTTAGTTCAATAAATGAACTAAAAATCAGCTTATAATGAGCTAAATCTTAGCTCAAAAATTAATGAGCTAGCAAGCTCAAGGGAAGTCAAAATCAAATTTTTTGAGTTTGATTTGACCCCCCTTATGTCTACATCACTCCCCTTCTTGAGAACTCATCTCCCGATAAGTTAGCTTTGTTCTGAAGGCGATGCATCAAGAGACACCAAAGCTTGAGATTGCTCACATGACACCAAGACTCAAATGACAACATGACTCAAAACAAAACTTACATGATGACATCAAGACACACACGACTCATAAGATTTTACCTGACAAACTGACTCACAAACCTAGGAAGACACAAAACAAGACTCAAGCACAACTATCATGACACACCAAGACTCACTAGAACTCACAAACAAAACTTACATGACATCAAGACACATACGACTCATAAGACTCTCAAGACTTACACAACAAGACTTGACTTGACAGACCAACTTAAAAACTTAGGACTTCCTAACTTGCTCTGATACCAAATTAATGCGATCAAAAATTTGGGAGAGGGCCCCAAATTATTTTTCACAAAAAGCAGACTTTTTCTAGGATGATAGAAAGACATAAAATACTTAAAAGAACACAAATACTATAAAACACAACTTTATATAATAAAACGACTTACAAACAAAGACTCTTACAAACTTGACTCAAACATGACACCCTAAACTTGCTTTCTAAAAGAAGAAGGATACATATGGGGTGTAAACTTGCGGAGAGACGAAAGAGGTTAGAAGCCAAGACGAAAGGCGGAAAGAGCTCGCAAAATTTCCTGGGGAGATGAGAAAGAGAATGGAACAAGCTCGCAAGCTTTTCTAATAAAACCCGCAGGTTTACATTTTCAAAAATCACATCATAAACTTTTTTAAACATACACAAAACATCTCTATATCATAAACTTTTTTAAACATACACAAAACATCTCTATATATAGGCATGAGAGGGGAATACAAATAGCCACAAAACATTAATTTAAAAGCTAATTAAACAGGGAATATGAAAAGCCAACAGTCATTTCCAAGAAACGAAGCACCAAAGCCACGGAAAAGCCCCCATACACTCACGGGAAACAGCCTAGCCAGGGACCGAAGAGGCAGCCGCAGAAACTAAAGAGGCCCGCATAGAACCGAGGCACCAAGGAACGGGAAAACCACCAAGCACGGAAAACCAGCAGCCAACCGTGGACACCAAGGAGCTAAGGCACGGAAATCCAAGAGCCAGCCACAGGAAACTAAGGAGGCAGCCGTGGGAACTAAGGAGCCAAGGCACGGGAACCCAAGAACCATCCACGTGAAATGAATAGACAAGAAGAAGAAGAAGAAGAAGAATAAGAAGAAGAAGAAGAAGAAGAAGAAGAGACAAAATAATGAGCTACTAATAAATTAATAAATGATCTAAAAACATAGCTCATAATGAGTTAACTCTTAGTTCAATAAATGAACTAAAAACCAGCTCATAATGAGCTAAATCTTAGCTCAAAAATTAATGAGCTAGTAAGCTCAAGGGAAGTTAAAACCAAATTTTTTGGGTTTGATTTGACCCCCCCTATGTCTACATCAGAAGATCTCAACCGGAGAGGTTCACAAATATTTTCAAATGCCACTCAAATGCCTGAAAATCAAAAAATCCCTAAGATCATCCAAATTCAAATATGTTTAATATTGAAATTATCCATCAAACGCTTAAAGTAAAATCCATTCACCTTTCGTAATAGTTTTCTATGGTGGACAAATTTAAAAATAACTTCAGCTAACTAGAGCTAATGTTTAGTCGAAAATATCACTAGGATGCATTCTCAAATATTCTTCTGCCAGTAAAATGTGGTACATGTCCTATAACCGACAATTTTGCCGCCAAATGGCACCGCAGGATAAACGGTTATGACCCGGGGCCCTCTGAGCTAAGTGATTTTGCCGTCAAATGGCATCATGAAATACCGGTTATGGCCAGAGCCAATATATTCCTTAGTGACATCAAATCCTTGAGATATGAATCAATAGAGTTTAAAGCCCTCTGTTAGCTAAAAGGTGGATTCAAATTTATCCCCTTAGGTAAGTACCCACCCTAGATCTACAAGGTCCTTGGACGAAGCAAGCCATGACTGCCGATAAGGATCCTTCTATCAGGTTGGGTCTACCTCCTCTGATTAAGTAGATCAGGGACCATGATGGTCCGGGATGATAGAACCATGGGATCTTGATCGGGTCCATCATCACTCCCCCCAGGCCCCCACCATCCGCTTTAAGTGTAAGATGGTGTCATTTCAAATTTTAAACATCAAATCTCTAAACTCTCTAATTCCTAAGCCCATGCTGCTACTATACACTAGAGAACACGTAGTTCTACGTATCTGATTGACGACTAGCCTTAATCGAAAGTTCTTTCTCGTGATCAGGAGTAATTAACTATAGGGGCTTGCACTTATAGGAAAACATAACTCAGATCATAATGTTCTTGCAAAATGAAGGCGAAATCTCTAGGTAGTGTCTTATCTACAAACTCATCTACCTTCCAAAATTTACTCTGGAACTTAATTCTGTTAAAACTCCCCATGTCCGAAGAAAGCAAAGTAGGGGAGGCTGGGGCCGAATTTTTGGAGCTCACATTGCAGTTTGCTTATCATTTTATGTGTACTATTTGGTGTCACCAGGATATGAGTTAAGCAATTTCTAGGGGCTTGTATACATTGCAAATTTGTCGTGCTTGTTGATGCATAACATATTTTGTATGTAGATTATGTCTGCAAAAGATTAGTCATATTCATCATACACTACTCCTTATCACTTGCAGGGGTTCAATGTATTTTCTTGCAAATTAATGTTGACTATGGGGAAATTGCCATAGTCTTTGTGTGTCTCCATGTTTCGCTCATATGCATATTACTGTATGTTTCTTGAGTACATGCGTAGGATGGCTTGTATATTGAATATTGTCTTCATTGCCCGTCGGCATTTATATCTCAACTAGTACGATCAATATGCGTAAGTCATAATGCCCATCAAAAGTTCCACATTATTGTTTGCAAGCATGTTGTCATACCCCTTTCAATCTTCATTAGTTATTGTTTGTGGATGGGTCATGTTGAATGTTACAAGCCTCTTACTATCCTTTCAAGTTGACTTGTGGCGTACGTGGCGAATTTACTTGTTAATGCTTTACATTTCAAACGACAGGATAAATCATTAATACTCATTTCAGATCTTGCATTATTGCTTGTGAGTGTGTTGCCATCTCGTTATTTTAGAAATCTTAGCTTGTTCATTGACAATCATATGGAGGATAGCCAGTATGTGCATTTTGTTATTATTATGCATTTGTTAATTTAAGGTATGGTTCCCTATGTCATGTTCAAATTCAAGTCCTCTGTAGTCTGATTTAATTTCAGTTCCTCTGTTTACTAAAAATTTTGGTAGCCTCCCAGCATCTCCCCTATTTATGGGAAATTCCATGAGGCATAGCCTGCCCACCACGTTAGAGTAAAGACGTGCATGATTAGTGTTTGATGACACCGCAGCCATAGTTTTTAGTTATGCCATGCCAGAGAAAGGCGTGAAAACACAATTTTTTCCCTGCAGGCACTGAGGAAGACACGAGTACTTAATTTTTGCGCCGTCACGCTAGAGAAAAGCAGGGCTCACCCGCTTCGCTGTAGGTGTCGCATTGGGTTCCTTCCCATCACATTAGAGAAAAATGTGCATATAGGGTCTCTGGCGCGCCATAAACACTGAATGCGGGATTTTACATTTGAGGGATTTCTGAGTTTGTAGAGCATTATAGCTTCGACATCGAGGTGATGTGTGGATCAGGAAGCTCTAATTGGTTGAATCGATGGGAGGAAGGAGATCTGAAGTGTTGGCCGAAGAAGATTGGAAGTTGGGTGGAGGGTTCGACAGCTGCTAGGTTCAAATGGAGGAGAGGGAGATACAAATGGGTTGTGAGAGAGGAGCTAGGGTGAAGTCGCAGGTAGAGGGAGATCGGGTCTTTGGAGGTCCGATTCGAGTGGCTTGCGGCTAAGTGGAGTTCGGTAAGGTGGAAATCGGACAGAGCTCAGTGGCTGCTAGGGTTATAGTGGCGGGATTGAAATGCAGGGAAGTCAGATGATTTACAACGGGCAAGGTTTCTTGAGCGGAGAGAACACGGAGGAAGCTTGGTTTGTGGACCTCGGTTGCTTGGAGTCGGATGAGGTCGTTCGAGTTGTAGAAGAAACCGAACAGGAGGCCTTTCGGTCTTGTTTTAACGACGAGAGTGAAGCACTATCGATGCGAGAAAATCCCGGACTGTTTTGGCATCGTTTGACCTGCATTTCAGCGGGATTTCAGAAGATTTGAACGGAGCAGGCGCGACGATATGAAGTATGCGGGATTTGCACAAGATTTTTTTGTTTTTAAATTTTGTTAGAGGTCAACAAGTTAAAAAAAAAAAAGCAGAGTCTGATAATAGCAATTTATTCTTATGGTTGTACTTTCTATTCATTAGGGACTACTAAGTAGATGCTATGTTCAAAGTTTTATGTTTTCTTTATCCTTTTAGAATGCCATACGAGGTAGATGATCTCTTGGCATTGAGGTTGTTTATCTAGTTTTTTATGTATTGAGGTTTTCCAACAAGTCCAAAGAGTTTCTAGTTTCTCTTACTTTTTCAGTATTATATTTTTTTGGAAAATTATGCGCGTGCCACCTGAAATCTGACTATTTATGAATCTAACATCCATGATCAACTCATTAAAAATTTAATGAAAGAAAAATTGGACTGACAAGCGCCAAGGACTGAGCAGATGCTACAGAAGAAATTGCTACTAGTGTTTAATGTTAGCTTATTATTTCTTGTGCAGGACTGACAACTCAATAAAAAATCACTGGAACAGTTCTTTGAGAAAAAAGGCGGAGTTCGTTCTGAAAACTGGTAAACTTCCACCTGCTGATATGCCTGGCATTCAGTATGGTGCTGAAGACAAAGCAAACTCAGGTCCTAATCAAAATTTTAATTTCTCTAATAAAAGATTAGTAGCAAGCGCCAATATTCTACCAGAAAACTGTTCCTCTGCACATTCTAGCGTACCACCAAAGATTAGTGAAGCAGAAAACCAGGACAGTTTGATGGTTCCCGTATCTGCAGAAGTTTCTGAATTAAATTCTTTGGATGAAGCAGCAAAAAAATCTGGCAAGCAAATTTGGGTGGTTCCGGTATTAGCACAAGTTTCTAACTTAAATGATTCATTGGTTATAGAAGGAAAATCTGATACTTCTGATGTCCCTCAATGTCCAGCACAAGCCTCAGAAATAGATTCTGTACATAGTAGGTCAGACTCAGGGGTCTCTTGCTTCACTCCAGAAGTATGCCAAAATGAGAAGCCTTCTGGAACAAAACTCTATCCAGTTGCAGATAACCTTAGTTCTCTCTGCTATAAACCACCTCAATTAGAGGATATTGGTGTTTCTGTCATGTCATCACTCTTATTTGAAAACAACTCCTTGCAGCCAGCATTCAAAGTTGAGACAGTTTCTTCATCCGATGGTCATTCAACCCCATCCTCCGTGAATGTTACTAGGTCTTTCCAGCCAAGTATAGAATCCATTTTAAGAAGCGCAGCTAGAAGTTTTCAAAATACTCCATCCATAATAAAAAGGAGAAGTGAAGCGCATTCACCGGTCCCTCCTGGTACAATGAGCACAAACGAAACTAGAGTGCAGGATAGCTGCACTCCTAATGAAGAAAGTGTTAATAATATAGAAGGATCAGCATTTTCGGTATCCAAGTTATCTTTTAGCCCATGTACTATTAATGAAGATTTGTTAGACAAGGGAAAGGATTTCGATATTTCTCCACCATATCGGTTATGGTCCAAGAGAAAGGCAACTTTCAAACCAGTAGAGAAGCAGCTTGATTTTTCCTTGGAAAAGGCAAACATGGATGTGAATACCAAAATTTCAAGTTTTGAAGTTAACAAGAACTCCTACAGCCCTACAAATATGCATGTTTGGACCATGCAAGGAAAGAAGCTGAAGAATGATCTTGCTGATCTAAAGACAGTGACTTCTCCAATACGTTAAAGTTGGACGTGACGTGATCAAGAGTCTGTAAGTGCAATATGAACCTTACCTTAATGAGCTTTCTCTCTTTTTCAATAAGCTGTATTTTTTTTTCCAGCTAACAAACCTGTTGAATTTGCTTGTGTATTATTCTGATGTTTTAAAATGCATGTACGACACTCCACTTTTCATGTGAATCTGTATCTTCTAGTAATAGATAATGAAATTAGTACATTACTTTTCAATGGATTTTAACTCGGTTATTTGATATGGTAAAGTCACTGCCCTAGTATTTTTTGCAAACTTTCTCTGATCAATTTACTTTTGTATCATTCTAATGGCTTTTAAATGTGTATATTATGTTTCACCTTTCACGTTAATACATATTTTACAGTTATACAGATTGAGATTTATAAATTACTTTTCGATCATTTAAAATGGGTTTTTACTAAGAATTTAGTATGCTTAGGGCCCTTTCCTAGTATTTTTGGTAAAAACCTTCTTACATGGAATGCATTTCACAGTTTTTATCCAACGTACAATGGTTGGCCGTATTTTGAACGGTATCCTTTGTGATCTTTGTGATTAGAGAAGCTTATGGATACTCCCAAGTAAAATTGGCTAAACTGAAACTAAGACAATAAAACCAGCTCAGCTTTGTGAATTTCTGGGACATGCCAAAATGCATAAATTTAAGGTAAATGTTGTGTAGCTTATATTTTCTCACTGTAAATATGAATCATGAATTCTGCCAAAACCCCAAGAAATGAATCCTAACTAAGTTGTTGGGATGAAGCTAATGAACATGCTGCTGATAATGAATTGTCTCATTAAAAAGAGTGCGGAAGAAAGCTGTTATGGAGCATAGCTAGGAATTGGAAATGTTATGTCCTCATTGTAAATAGTAATCATAAATTATCTGTCTACTTGAAGTTTGGGGATTTTAAATGAGAAAATAAGAGAATTGGTAGACATAATGATTAGAAGAAGAATAAATATTGTTTGCTTTTAAAAAATTAATTGGAAAGGGCAAAAGTTCATAGACAATGGGGAGGGTTATGAGTTTTTGTATGTTGGAAAAGATTACTAATTGGAATGGGTAGTGGATGAAGAGTTAAAATATAAAATTGTAGAGATGAATAGATTTAGTGTGTTGACCTGCAATACTATGCAAACAGAGAAAAATAAAATAAATTTTATTTCTCTCGTACCTATTCGGTGCCAGACTCCGCACATCGTTCGCGCAAATCCAGCCCAAATCTCGTGTACACGTCCGAGTGTCATTCATCACACGTCAACGACAAACAAGTACAATCAACAAACCACCTGAGATTGGTGAAAGGTGGATTCGATGCAGAAACAGTGGCTCTCCTACGAATATTTTCAGGAGGTCGTAGTGGATACAGCAGTCCCCCGCAAATAAACACGAGTCACTTGTGGATAACAACATTGGGTATCTCGCAAAGCAAAATGAACCACTGTGGATACAAGTATAGATATCACCTACGACAATGATGATTAAGGTCTACGAGTACATCGGGTACAAAGGCAACCCGATGTACGAAAAAGGATACCCCCTGGCAGAAGAGAGGAAATGTTTGAACAAATTAGAATCAAACTTCCTGGTGTTCCAAAGTCCCTTCTTAGTTCTATACTTGAGAAGAAAATAGTTATGGTGCCCACAAACACCGGAAATAACAAGTCCACTACACCGAAGAGCCTAAAAAGAGTTCTTTCCGAATCAACAATCATTGACTCCAAAGTCCAGAAAGTCCCGTCCCCGGTGAATGAGAAAGGGGGGAGTCAACATCAAGGTGATAAGGTGCCTCACCGCACCAGATGCTACGCCACCGGATCTGTAACACTTATGCAAACAGACAGAAGGCGTCTACAATCTACAATGCCACGTCACCGGATCCGCAACATTCGTACTAGCGGACAGAAGGCATGTATAAGCTCTCAAATGAAAGGATGTGTGCATCCAAATGATAGTTACTTGCACAACTACAATTATTTTGAAATATCTCTGCGCGTGCACTATAATTTGTATACACATAGGTACACTAAAGGGATAAATGAAATATCGACCCGCATGGGCCCCGGCGAGCGTGTTATTGGTACACACGTGACGTCTAGGGATGTTGCGCGGGTCAATAAGTGAATTTAAGTTCGAATCTAATCCTTCTATATAAATCAATAGAAGTCGACAAGGTTCGAACTCTCAAACAAGTACACGGTTGTGGGGACCGGTGTATTTGTTTTAATACATTCATATTAGGCCTTCAAGGCTTATAATCAAGATAATTCACTAAACAAAGGCATGAAGCCTACAAAAGCCCGATCCTCCTAAGCAAGTAAATAGGAGTAGACATGGTTCAAACCATCGGATAAATATGCGGTCACGAAATCGACCAGAATATTTATCTTATACATTCATATTAGGCCTTCAAGGCCTTCAACAAAGAAAATTCACTATCAAAGGCATGAAGCCTACAAAAGCTCGATCCTTGGCCAACAGCTTGGCCGAGTTGACAAGGTTCAATCAATAAAGAGAAATGACCTCTAACACCCCGATGATGGTCGTGTTGAATGATGATTTCAACCGGAGGGGTTCACAAATACTTTGAAATGCCTCCCACAAGTCCACCCAAAATCCAAAATCTCATAAATTCCAATTCCAGATATTTAAATTGAAATTCAATCTATCAACACTTAAAGTAAAATCCATCCACCCTCCGCAACAGTTTGTCGAGGTGGACAAATTTAAATATAACTTCAGCTCACAAAAAGTCAAATGCCTAGTCGAAAATATCACTAGGATCCATTCTCAAACAATCTCCTGCCAGTAAGGACGTGGTACGTGTCCTCTAACCGGCCGTCTGCCACCAAATGACACCGCAAGATAAACGGTTATGACGACCCGGGGCCCTCTAAACCGAGTGGTTTTGCCGCCAAATGGCTCCACAAAATACCGGTTATGGTCGAACCAATACGCTCCTTATTGGTATCAAATCCTTGATATATGAATCAATATGATATGATTGATAGGGCATAAAGCCTTCTGTTAGCTAAGGTGAATTTAAATTTGTCCCCTTAGACAAACATTCAACCCAGGTCTACAAGGTCCCCTTGGACGAAGCAACCCATGGCTGCCGACAAGGATCCCTCTATGGCTCTATCAGGTTGGGTCGACTACCTCCTCTGACTAAGTAGACCATGGACCACGATGGCCCGAGATGACGGAATCATGGGATCTTAATCGGGTCCATCATCCATTCCCCCACCATCCGCTTTAAGTGCAAGATGGTGCAATTTTCATTTTTAAATATCAAATCTCCCAATCCAAATTTCAAACATCTGAACTTTCCAAATTTCCAAACCCAAATCCATGCTGCTACTATATGCCAGATACCACGTATCTCTATACGTATCTGATTGACGACTAGCCTTAATCGAAAGTTCTCTCTCGTGATCGGGAGGGGTAATTAACTATAGGGGCTTGCGCCTATAGGAAACCAGAACTCAGATCATAAAGTCCTCGCAAAATGAGGGCGAAATCTCTGGGTAGTGTCTTATCTACAAATCTATCTATCTTCCAAAATTTACCCCAGAACTTAATTCCGTTAAAACTCCCCTTGCTAGAAGAAAAAGCCAATCAATGCACGGCGGGGAGGCCGGGGCCGAATTTTTGGAGCCCACATAGTGATAGGATGATTGTTATTAAGGTAATTGCCGATGAAGATATCATGAATGTGGTAAATACTTACTCTTCAATTTGGATTAAAAAATAGTTTAAAAGATCAATTTAGAAGAGATGGATATACTACTACAACATATAAGACAAAGGATATTTATTGAAGATGATCTAAATAGGCATATAGTTTCTAATAGGATAGTCTGTAGGACATTCACGGTGGTTATGGAATATGCAATAAAATTGCAATGAGAGAGAAGCTATATTTGATTTCATAATAGCCTATAATTTTGTAATGACAGATATATGTTAAGAAATGAGAAGAACACTTATAAAAGTGGAGCCACCAAATGAAAAATATATTTTTTTGTTCCACTTAGAAGAAAAGAAAATTCTTCTTGCAAAGATTATAATTTAATTCTAGATGCGATTTTGTTCACACAACTTAGAGGCTAGTTGGAAGGATCCACGAACCCAATTGGTTAGTCCTTAAAATACAGAATATGTTCATTTAGGTCTGAATAAGCTTTAGACGAGCTTGTACAATTATCTTGTTAACATTTCTTGCCCAAGTATCTATTTTCGTTATTCCTTCATCAAGTTCCTAGCTTAGCTGGTTTTCAGAAAATTGTTTAAGCTTGTATCAATTATTTGCACATTGTGGTCGACCATTAATTTGTTTGAATCGTAATGTAATTCAATAGCTCATAAACAAACATAAACAAGTATGCAGACCATCTATGATGGAACTAAATAAGCTACATAAATGCTTAAATAAGCTATATTTAAATGAAAAAGGATAATGAATTTCAAACAAATATTTAAGTAGATTATATAATTATAATCGGTCCCCTTAAGAGAAAGGGATTTGCAAAAGGTCATTCTTACCCTCACTTAAATAGACTTGGCTTAAGAAAGACTTAGGGGTAGAATTGGCATTTAGATACTTCCAAAATTCATAATCTTCAAAATACTCATAATTAAATATAGGTTCTATACATCAAATTTCTTAGAATTTTGCGCTCTAATTTATAAAATTATTTTCGTCGAAATCCGACAACTTCGAATTTTCCACTTAAAACTCGTCGCTACGCTTTGAAAAGCGTGCGAGGTCTAAAACGACGTTTTGCGGGTTTTACAGAGGATTATGCCTCGCCTCACGAACGAAAAACGCCTCAATACCTCATTACGCAATTTTAAACAGTGATTATAAGCACTGTGAAGCTATAGTTGAGCTTATAAATGAATCACTATCGCCTAGCTAAATATATTTTGTTCATGGTATAACGAAAGAACTGATGTCCATGCTGTTTCGTAACCTTTCATTGAGCTCGCTCTGTTCAAACTTTTTAAGAGAATTTTGCCGATATTAGCAGTTATTCATTGAGCTTCGTATTGAACAGCTCATATAGGCTTCGTTTGGGACGGCTTATTTACTGTTTCTTAAAGCAGCTTTCTAGTACAAAAATTTTAAAAAGCCGTTTTAAGAAGCAGCAAAAATCCGTTCCAAATGAAGCCATAATCTGCTGAAGTAAATTTTCTTCTTTTGCTGTAAATAATTTAGACAGCATAATTACAGAATTCTCTTATCATCTTCGTTTGTTTTTGCAGGTTTTGCTTTAAAGTAGGTATTGTATCGTGGAAGTTGGAGATACGTTGATGGGAACACTCACAGGTTGGGATTTTTTTTTTCAACCGATTTCTCTTCCTTGATGTAGATTCTTTGAACAGAATAAAGGATAATCTGGACGGAAGAATTCTGCTTTCAATATTTTTTGGGGATGCCAGACCTGAAGGCTGGTAAATGCATCTTTCATTACAGAAATAGTGAATTCAACATGCATATACAAAAGATTCAGATTTGTAAAGACCTTGTACATAAGCGCTCGATAGAGCTTCATCTTTCTACTTACGAATATGATCTTCCCCTTCAGCTAGTTATACGGAAATAGTTTACAGTTCTACATGTAAAGAACCTGAGGTAATTGTTTTCTGTGACCTGAAAGAAGTTTGCAGTTTAAATGAGAATTGAAAATCATTTAGGCTTCATTTGGGATGGCTTTCTTACTGCGTCTTAAAGCAGTTTTTAGTATAAAAAACTGCTTTAAGACGCAATAAGATAGCCGTCCCAAACGAAGCCTCAGATTTCACATGTTTTCTAAACAGTTGGTATTACTGTTAATTCTGTTGGTCTCATCAATTGCTATATTGTTCGATTGGTAGAGTTAGGATTAGCTTTCGACCATGAACTTATTCTACGTATATTTGCACTTCTAAGAATGCATGAGCTTTTAAATGATAAATCTGTCTGTAAACTATGTTTTCAGTATTTTTTTATGGATAAAAATTAGCATTTCATGCTCGTTATTGTAAGGTTAAGATTTGGGTGTATATATATATATATCACGATCAATCGAGTGCATTGAGAATGATGACCGACGGGCACCAAGCCCTTCGACTGTTGTTGAAGTCTCTCAAATATTGTTTGATCACAAAATGAATTGCATCGATACACTCAGCATATCAAATTTATCAAAGAAGAGTCATTCGTGCACAACTCAATAAAAAAATAACTAGGAGCTCGACTGTTGGCGGGCACTAAGCTGGTAAAAATAGCTCGAACGACTTCCGACTATTTAATAAATTATAAGTTAAAATATGATAAACTCAATACATATTCATGCTCTTGATGATAAACTAAATGTTATGCTTTCATACACATGCATCATTTTGATTGTTAAGCAATGTTTATGGAAAAAAAAAAAAAGAAGCAATGTTTATGGCATTCATTTACTTAAATGAGAAGTGCATTTATATCATCCTTACAATTTAAATATGATAGCTAATATGCATGCTGTTTTCTTTTCATTTGAGTTATTGTAATTCAGATTTGTGATTTATTGAGTTACATTTATAACTCATACATACTATTAAATAAATATATACAAGAAATTATATAGTTTAAATGAGTAAGAGAAGAGAGTTTGTGTAGTGATGATATGGAGCTCAACATGATAAGAATTTATACTTCTTAGATGTTATAATTGTTAAGACTTTTTTGTGATCCAACTTAAGTTTATTTTTTTGTATTTCTTTGTTAGCTTTTGGTGTTCTTTTCTTTAGTTTCTTGTGTGACTTGTATTGCCATTGGTGTGGCTATTTGTGTCTTTAAATGGACTCTATAGGTTGTAAATAGAGTGATAGTTAAGCAATAAAGCATTTGATTTCAGCTACTCTCCCTCTTCCCTTCCCCTTCTCAACACTCTTCCCTTCCAAGAAGCTGAAGAAAACTTTTTTACTCTCCAAGAATCACAACAATAATACTATAATGTATATATGACTTTGTTAGCACAAATAAAATTCATAAATCTAACTATTCTCTTAGGCTTCATTTGAGATAGTTTTTTTATTGTTTTATAAAGCTATTTTAGAGTGTAATTTTTTAAAACTATTGTAGAAAGTAGCTTTAAAACAACATGAAGCCTTTATCACACTATGGGGTCGGCTGCATGAATCTTTTTTCTCCATTGTGTTCTGTTATGAGTCAAATTTTTAGCAACGAAAAAGCAATGGCAAAACATATACTATGATTTTGATCTAAAAAGCAAAGCAAAAAAAATGTTAAATGAAAATTCAATGTATTGGAAGTTCATAATAAAAAGAAAATTGTGACAAACTATTTTGAATATAAATAGAAGTATTTTAATATTGTGTCTGAGCTCCTTTTGATTTCTATTCATTCATGGCCATGTTTGGATTGTGTAAAGAATTAAAATTTAAAACAAAAAAAAAAGTACTCTAATGGAATGCGATTTACATCCTCTATTGACTTTCAAATAACAGATTTCTAAGTGTTTAAAGAGTTAAGATCAAATAGGAACATCCACTAAGATTTTTTTTTTTTTTTTAACTCCCAAAAGGAGCTTACACGTTGATAATAAAATATTACAAGTCTTTACAGAAACAATATCCCTCTAAAATACAGTAATTAAAATAAAACCTACGGGACGTTGATTCAAACTATACAAAACCAAGCAAATGAAATGAAAAGCAAACAACGAAGAGTCTCACCGGACGAAGCCTATAACGAACAATCCACCATAAGCCAAGAGAGACAGCTAGGGCAGCAAACAAGCCGAGCCGAGTCGAGTATGTGAGTGTTCATGTTTGAGTTTGTTTATTATTAGCTTGTTCAAGTTCGGTCCATGTTTGATTTGAGCTTTATTGTTTGTGTTCATGTTTGATTTGTTTAATTTAATGAGTGTTCATATTCAAATTGTGTTTGATTCGTTTAGTGCTTATCGAGTTTTAAACAAACAAGCACTGACGAGCTATATTCGTGAACATATTTAGCAAACAATCTGTTGAACAAACAAGCTTTGAATTTGTTCATGAACATCTTAAATAAACAATCTAGCAAACATGGACAATGTGAAATGTCTCTTGTTCATGAACAAATTCATTATATTGAATGTATAAAATAAAATGAATTAAATTTATAATAAAAGCAGTTGTCTATTTAAAATGAAAATATGATTAATCTATATTCATATGAAATTTATCTGTTGCAGTTCTCTTCATTTGGTACAACAGTTGAAAAATTAAATATTAATCGAGTTTTTATCGAGCTTATTCACGAGTTCTAAATCGAACACGAATCAAGCTTCTTATCGAGCTTAATGCCGAGCTTGTTCATGAGCTTAAAATAATGTTGTTCGTGAACATAAATGAACTTAACACAATAGTGTCCAAGTTTGTTTATTTAAGAATCGAGTATTTAAAATGTTGTTCAAGTTTGTTTGTTTAGTTAGTTAAACGATCACAAATGAGTTTTAATCGAACTGAGGAATGAGCAGCTCGTCGAACGCTTGGTTCACTTACAAACCTAGAGACAGATCAGACGAGCTCAAAGAAGTGAACCTGCAAGAATAAAAATAAAAGAACCAAGCAACAAAAAGCCAACCAGTAGAAATGAAACCAAACAAACAACCACACAGGGGGTTCAACCAACCTCCAACAAAACCCCCAACCAACAGTAGATCCAAACATCACACCAAGAAATCATTAGAGCTGAGCCCCACACAAACAACCAAGACCCAACCAACCAAGCACAGGAACCCCCAACCGACCAAGCACACACTAGCCAAAAATCAAAGAAAAAAACACGAAAAGACCAACAACAACAGAGAACAAAACCAGGCTTACTTCTATTTATGTTTACGCCTACGACGTTTGCACGCATTTTTGACTAGGCGACCCACCTTTAAAATTAAAGGTTTCATTGAAATCATCGTCAGGCCCATCCAAGTCATCCCCACCACCCACACCAAGCGATGAAAAGGACTCACCAAGCCAATCGGAATGGTCGTCATAAGGATCCTTCAAAGCCAACCCCAAATGAGCTCTCAAAGCATCATTAGGTAGAATATAAATAGGGGCATCAACAAATGACTCTTCCACAATTATGTTATGAGACAAATCCAATCCACAAGATGAATCATTCAGCGCCATCTTGTTAACATCACAATGATCTATCTTTATATGAGACAAGCCAAAATCAATTTCCTTCAGATCCATAACACCATCCGCATCAATAACAACATTAGAAATAAGTGCAACCAAATCCTTATGGGAATTATGGTCATCAACGGCATTGTCGTGCCCCAAATTTAAATCAACCCCCCATCGATGGGATAGTATTCTTAATATCCACGGCAGAGGACATCAAACCAGTATTGACCCCTAAGTCATCATCAACACCCTCCCTGAATTCACATTGCTCAACAATCAGATTAGGCACATGAGGAGAGATAGCCAAAGGGATATCAATTTTGATGGAGCCATGAGTGGAATCCCCAACCCTCGCAGATTCTTCAACCAACAAAATCTCCCCCATATGGCATGAGGCGTTAGCCACCTCCATATTCTCACGCACAACATCCACAACATTTCCCCCCACAACCAGAGGTGAGGAAGCAGAAACAACACCGACAAGCTTAAGAGGGGCCTTAGCTAAATGTGGATGCAAAGAAATACATTCCTTCCTAAGATGCCACAAAGACTTGCAATGATCACAAAAGGAAGGGAATTTATCCATTAAAACTTTTTGGATATAGCCCAATTTCTTCGGGCCAATCCACACACAATTCGAAAAATTTTTAATAATGTAGAGTTCAACAAGCACACGGGTAACCGAAGGACATGAGCCATTTGAGGTTGCAGTATCACATCGCACAGGCCGACCAAAAATAGAGCCAAAACCATGCAAGATTCGGGGAACAAAATGATGCAGACGTAGATTCGCTAACAACACCCAAATAGGGATAATAGGAGATTCTTCAGCAATATCAAATTCTGGCAACCATTTCATAAGTTTCATGAAACAATTATTCACAAAGTATGAACAATGAGCAAAAACAACAAAAAGCTTCAAATTAAAGAAAAAATTCCTAATAACATCAAGCGCCAGACAATGATTAGGAAAGTTTCTAACAAGTGAAAGTGTAAATGGAGCAACAAGGGACGAGATTTACTCCTCCGAAATCCATAACAAAGGTAAACCATAAAAAGTGAAAACTCTTAGATCTGGAAATCCACATACGATACATCATCCGAAAGAGCTTCCAAAAATGACTTAGGTATCGAATTTCCAGCCAAAAAATTGGGATCAAACAATTTCACTTGATTAGCCGCCATCCGCGAAGGCGGAGGCGGCAAAATTATGGAGAAATATAGACCACAAGGGAATGAGGCGAATTACATCAGCAAAGGGAAGGAAAACTTTCCTGCGAGGGAGACGGGGAAGCAGCTCACCTACGCCAGGACCGACAAAAAACCCTAGCAGAGGAGATTACAAGTTGGGGAGATGAACCTAAATCAGTTGATTTTTTATTGACATTTACGAAGATCTCTCTATGCTTCTTAGTGCTCAGTTTAGGTCAGGTCAGTTGAGCTTGGAGACTGGATATCAGCACAATTAATTTAACAATGAAGTTTATATTTTTATTATAAATATTGGAATCTTTTTAATACTTTTTATCCCTTGACTATTTTAATAATAATATGTCAATCATATCATTAGCTCCATAATAAATTATTTTTCCTTTTATATACAAAACAACTTGAATACTTTTTATTACCCTGAATCATTTTATTTGTGAAAAAAAGAATTTCATATATTTCAGTATTTTAGTCAGGAAAATATGGAAGAAAACATATTTCTGTTCAATACTTTTCAATGTCCAATACATCTCAACTTCATACTGTTACCAACTTAACAAAGGATTCCACTTCTTGTTCTTCATTTTCTCTATAAATTTGCTTATTGAAAAACAAAATCACACAACTCCTAGTTAAGAATGAATATATATTCAATGCTATTCCAAAATGCAATCACCATAAACCCAAAAACATAAACTTTAATGAAAATTTTCATTAAAAATTGTTAAGCAAGTCTCTATCCATGATTCATAAGTTGAAAAACTAAATCCATTGCAGTAAAAACTCTCACCATGAAAATACCACAATAAGTGACTTGAACAAAGAGGAAGTATCATAAGCCTCACATATGTAAAACTCAGCAGAATAACAGGAAATGTAGCAGTCCTTCCCTTCTTCTCAATGATGACCGGTCATCTGCTTTATGAGTTTGCTTAACGTACCATGCTTTGCAGACCACAGCTCTGCCAACTTCTGTTCTTTGGCTTCTGCATCTCTTCTCAAAACAAGTAGCTGTTCCCTGCATTCAGCTTCAATCCTCTCCAACGCCAGCTGCTGCTCCTCCCTTAGTTCCCTCACCTTCAATTCAATCTCCTCAATTTTCTCCCTCCTTTTACACGCCTTTTCTGACTCTAGTTGCAGTTCAACTCTCTTCAACCGCCACGCAGCCTCTTTTTTATGTGCCGCCCAAACCTGATACCCTTCCTCCAGTTCCCTACAACACTCAACCAGCTCAGCAAAAACATTCTGTTGTGAATTGATCAGGCCTAATGTACTGTCAGGTGCCCCTCTTTCAATCTGCACCCAGGGTGCAGGTGGTGCAGCAGGAATTGTTGATGGTGAGAGAGAGAGGGCAACTGATGGCGAGCTCGTGTTATTGGAATTTGCAAGCCATGGAGGAAGCAATGGTGTTGCCATGAGCAGCGGAGCGACGGGTCGTTGCTTCACCAGTTTCTCTGCAAAGCTCTCAAGAATGCGATCGTATTTCCCAGGTTCAATGGGTGCTGATGAAACCCTGTTGCTCTCTTTCAGCTCACGCTGTTGTTTTTCCTTGAAGACCTCCCACCACTTGCCTAACCGCTTGGCAGTGCGACCAGGTACCTCTGATGCAATCTTCTTCCACTTGTTGCCGTGCTTGGACTGAAGGTGAATCACCAGTCGCTGTTCTTCCTCTGTGAGAGAACCCTTCTTGATGCCTGGCTTGAGGTAGTTCTTCCAACGCTCAAGACATGACTTGGCATCTCTTTCGAGGCAAACATTCATGCGCTGGGAGATGAGGTTCCACTCCCTCGGCCCATATTGCTTCACGTATGCTCGAAGAATGGCGTCTTCTTCAGCTCTCCAGCGCTGGCGTTCCTTCATTTGGAGAAGCTAGGAGCCATAGTCCTGGATCCTTCATAATTCAACTGACAAAGAGATGGCATGGAACTTGGAGAACATTTGATCTAGTGCAAAACCAGCTGAAAATGACAATAGAGTGATTCAAATAATAAAATAACAATATTAGTTTGAAAATCAAATGGGAAAGCAATAGGGGGTAAAAAAATTACATTGGCAAGCACCACTTGGTAAGCAGGAACTTTTGTTATACTTAAGTGAAAATAAAACAACCAAGCTTAAAAAGAAGAATTCAAGACATAACAATAATGGTTCTCTTAGTTGAAACAGTGAAAACTGTTGCACTGCACATATGGGAATCTGGTAAATTCCATAACTTCCATTTACTGAACATATTACACCAATGTCAATGTGGAACCAGATGACTTGGAGCAGCAAAACATATCACCATCACTACAGAATATTCTTTTCCATCCTTGGAAGAATATTACAAAACAGAAAAGGACTTGTTAGATATTGATCCTAGAATTAGGTTTGTAACTTGTTGTGTAGCTTGTTGTGTAGCATTTGTGCTTATAAATAGGTAATAGGTTGTAATAGATTTGTATGATTTAGAAATACAAATTTCGTTTCCTGCTCTTTCCTTCTCCCTTCCATCTCTCTCCCTCCTCTCCCAAGAAGCTCAAGAGGAAGAACTCTTTCCTCTCATCCAAGATTCTACAGAACTAAAATACCTACAAGTTTCTTCTACATGAGTGTTGATGCTACCCCCAAAACCAAAGCTATTTCAGTGGTTGAGTTAGCTTCAAATGTCCATTTAAATATTAAATTATATAAAACTCCTCTAGGGGAATGAAGTAGGGTATTTAAAAATATTTTGTATTAAACTTTTGAAAGAATTTTCAAATTAAAACAGTCATTAACTGAATGATCTCCAAGTGTATACTATTAGTCCTGGTTCATAGATTAAGGTCCCTTAATTAGTATCCTCTCCATTTACTCGATCCTAAAGTCATTACAATGTGCAATCACACCAACCCCAACCACTTATTTCACTATGGGCAGGGCAGGTGATTTGAACAAAACTACTAAGGTTTTGTTTGGGACGACTTTCTTACTGCTTCATAAAGCAGCTTTCTAGTACAAATATTAAAATTTTTATACTAAAAAGTTGCTTTAATAAGCATAAAGAAAGTTGTCCCAAACGAAGCCTAAGTCTCCATTTAGAATTTTCAGTAGTCCTAGCATCTAGAAAGCACAGAAAAGCACCAAAAAATGCCACAGCAACATTCTATTCAAGAAAAGACATCTTCACTTAGATCATTAATAATAAGACAACTAGATATTTCCCCCTCCTATCTTTGAATAAGAGTTTCTTTCAAGTAGAAATATCATCCCAAATGTCTTATTTGGGGCAAAAATGGCTAAAGCAGCAATAAATTTTCATAGATAAAGAAAGTTAAAACTGGCAAAGCTAAAAGCATCCCATGGTGTCACTATCTCACATAAAATTCATAATTTAAACAAAAAAAAACATAGGTCCCCATCCAAGTCTCGTCAATTTCTTTCATGATATAAGCAACACAACTTGATCTTGGTTTAGAGCTTTAGCTACCAATCAAAAGGTTTAGATTTGAAGCTTGCGATGTGATTCTGCTCAAATATCCCAAAAAAAATTATATAGGCAGAAAGGCAACAGAATCAATCAAATCAAATATCTATTTTTAAATGAATAGGCATGAACCAATAAAACAAAAAATTATACATAAAAGTTTGTATATTCAGGTTTGCCAAAAGCTAAGAACAGTATGCTTCAAACTATTTGACTCCATTTCAGAAATTAGATTTCCAAGCATCCATAATAAATGTCCAGTATAAAAGAGATACAACAGCTACCAAAACACGAGAAAAAGGAAAAAATAAATAACAAAAAAAAAAAAAAAACCAAAGCACATTAACAAAGTTATACAAATAGCTCCTTTGAAGCCTTTCATAAGAACATAAACCAAGAACAAACCAGCAGTGATTACACCAAAAAAAAAACCCTCTAAATCCACATTCAATTAAAGATGCATTAAAATTTTAGATCTCTCACAAAGTTAATCTCCTATCATCCATACTCTCTAATTTAACAACAACAAAAAAGCGCCGAATCTGAAATAGAGCTATCTCATTCCATTCACTTAGACCTCCAAAATGTACACTGTAAAGCCCCAAAAACAACCCTTCCCATTTATTGAGAAACAGAGCACCTAAAATTCACCACATTCTTAACAAAGACTTCAAAGTCGATCCTTTTCTTACATATTCCTCGTCCCAAAACCAGATAAACTACATCCACAGCTACAATTACAACCAACAATATTTTCTTTTTCTGAACAAGAGAAATAGAGATCTTACTAAGCCAGCAAATTCTTTCCCAGCAAGCATCCTCGCCTTTCTTCTCTCCCGGACCAAAGTAGAACAGCTCGAGATAGAAAGCGATAGAAGTAGAGGTGAGGGAAGATATTCAAACCCGCTTGAGCCCTACATATAGGTCGATAGGGCAAAAAAAAGAAAGTGAAATCCGAAAGAGCCGTAAAAGAAGGGCACGCGAAGAGGGAAAGTTAAAAAATAAAAAAAACTAAAAAGACATACTCGACTACCGAGCACCGAACCAACACTCGAGGAGACAACCGAACCCTGGAAGAGAGAGAAAAATAAGAGATAGAGAGAGAAACTGGAGAGGGAGGAGGAGGACCACCACTCCCGTCGGTGCCCACGTCACCTCAGAATGTGCGGACGTCACTGAAATCGCGCGACGACACGGGGGAGACGCATCGGCGACGGAAACGAGAGGAGAGAGAGAGCGAAAGTGAAGACGGAAAAGGATATTTAAAAAAGACGGGACCGTTACGTCCTATCGTGGGGCCCAATTGATTTACTGTATATTAAACAATTGAAAGAGTTTTTATATTTATGTATTAAACGAATCAAGTTGAGTTAAATAGTGAACTTATCGAGCAGGATTTTTAGGTAAAAAAGTCAGCTTTAATTCGAACTCGAGCTCGAGCTCTAGTCGAGCTCAGAAGGTTAGCTCGAATTAGAGCTCATCCCACTGCAAATAATCTCGAGCCGGCTTGCGAGGCTCAGCCGGATTTTTTAAATATTATTAATTATTTTAAATATTTAAATTTTAAATTTTTTATTAATATTTTAATCATTTATTATTAATTTTAACATTAAATATTTTAAGCATTTATTATTATTTGTAATATTTGAATTTAATAAATAAAATAAAATTATCTTAAAAATATTAATAATTCTTTGAGTCGGCTCAAGAGCTCACGAGGCGAGCCTCATCAAGCTCGAACTCGAACTCGTTTACTAAATGAGCTCGAGTTCAAGCTCGACTTGTGAGCACGATAAGCTCGGCTCACGAGCCCATAAATGAGTCGAATTCGAGCCAGCTAGGCTCACTTACACCCCTAATTGAGAGTGTTTTTATCTAAAATAATGATTTTAAATTATACACAAAAAAATTTATAAACCATTATTTCAAATATATATTGAGATTCTTACTCCAATTATATTTAAAAAATTAAATAATATTTGTCATATGAAGAGCTACTAAATTAAATAAAATTAGGAGATGCTCAAATCAAAAAATAAACAAATGAATAAGTGACAACAAATCAAAAATATGCTTCTCAAGGTATTGAAATAGAGACCATAAAACGAGCTCGAGCTTGAACAAAAACCACAAAATCTCGATTCATTTTTAAATGAGCTCGAGCTTGAACAGAGACCACAATAGCTCGATTCTTATCGAGCCGAGCTCGAACAGGATGCTACCAAACGAGCTCAAGCTTGAACATGCTGAAGCTCAACCGGCTTGGTTCATTTGCAGCCCTACTCAAAATGTACATGTTTTTCTCATTTAAAAACTTTAGAAGACATAATGTAATAAATTCTTTTTGAAAACGTTCAAAGATCATAACCCTGCAAGCTTTTTCTCATTTAAATATCTTAAAAAGTCATGAATTTCAAAATGTGCATACTCTTTTCAAAAAATCTCAAAACACAAAACTTAATGAGGGCATACTATTTATCATCTAAAAATATCAAAAGATATAAATTCTTTCTAAAAACTGAAAAGCCCCAAGTCTTAGAAGGCATACATAAGCCTCAAAAGATATAATTTTCTCTCATCTAAAAATCTCAAAATGCATGTGCCTCATAGGGTATCATATCTTTTCTTTTCAAAAGAAATCATGAATTAGGAGTTTCAAAAAATGACCCAACTGGTCAACCTGATAAAAAAATTTGATTTCATGACCCATTTAATAAATAGGATGGGCTTAGATTGACCCGTTTATTAAACGGGTAGGGTTTGAGTTGACGTGCAATCAACTTTTGACTTGAAAATAACTTATTTAATATCGTTTTTCTATTTTTTTTAACTTTTGGGCATAATTTTTTATTTATGATCAAATATCATAAACTTTATAATTAATAAGTTAAAAAAAAAATTTAACCAAAACGGATTTGGGTTCGGATTAATCCTTTTAACCCGTTTATTGAAATGGATGAATTTGGGTTGATTGTATTTAGGTCGGGTCAATTTTGGCTCGGATTCAACCCCGACCCATTAACCTATTTTTACACCTCTGACATGAATATAAGATTATTTAAAAGCCACAAACATCATAAAATGTATAACAAAATCCTTATCAACTAATAGATCAAAGCTACTATATTCCAACTAAGGAGAAAGATCTTTATGTTGTTAACTCAAATATTCAACTATGCTATGTTGGATTTTTAGCAAGACATGAATATTTTAAATACAGTTAAATAGCTTAGTCTCCTATGATGGATAAGTTCTGAAAAATTCATATCATACTTATATAAAAATTGAGAGTTCATCAATTATCATTATTACTCCTAATAATTTGATTATAATATTATTCAATCTTGTATGTATTACTATAAAAATATATATATATAATTAAGAGTTGGACAAATAAAAACTTTTATTTTAAAGCATGTACATAGCTGCTAGACCAATGTAATGTTAACATACTCTTCTTCATCACCACCAAAGTTTTTTCGAAGCTTCTATAGCCTTCAAAATTTTAAATTTCTTCTTTATTTTTAATGAGTGATCTCTTTCCCTTTGAAGTTAGTTCTAATTTTCAAATTTATAGCTTTTGCCTCCCTTGTTATTCATCTTGAGTGATACCACACAATGGTGTTTACAACATTCTGATGTTTTGTATCATCAATGTTGACAATATTTCGAGACAAATTCTAGAACACTGACATCAATATCAAGCTGAGAATCAAGTAAATTAGGGCATGAACATATGATCATTCAATAAACATTTTAGGGCATCGTCATCATCTCCACACCAAGGAAATGTCGTTATATAAATCATTATCCCTTGCACGGGCTATACCAAATTTAAAAGATAATTAACTCATTTGGATAAGAAAATTAGAATCTCAAAACTGGTTGAAAAAATCTCCTCATCTTTGATTCTATCTATTCAAATAAGGATAGTTAGTTCCTTTTCAAGAGAAAAACGAAGTTTTGATAATATTTGTCTGATCGATGTTTTGATAATTTTTGTCTAATTGATATGCCTACTTCAGGTAAGACTAAAATTATAATCAAGGAGATTTGACATAGTTCATATCTTAAAGGGGAGGTTTATAATTATCATTGTCTAATCACCATCTCCAATCGCTATCACCCGACCATAATTACCTGACTGATGTCACTTTACAGTCATCATTTGACCATTATTATCTAACTATCATCATCTCAACTAATTCTCTAATAATTTATATTACAATCATAAGAAATTAAGTTAGTGTTCTAAATTCTGAAAGATCGGCTTTGCTAATTGATGGGAAGAGTAGATTATTATTATTTGACTTACATAGTGAATTATTTTAACAATGTCAAACCCCATAAATTTCCCCCTTAAAAAAAAATAAAAACTTTGCATACAAAATATTTTGACGGCTCTTGAAATAATTCATTTATCTTTGTGTATGATATATCTTCAAACAAAATTAAGACAATATACTCACTTTATAATTGTTGCGTCCATGAGTATTCGCGGCGGTAGAGAAATATAAAGTTTATCGTCTTAGCAATGTACGAAAATTCGGCACGCAATCAGATAAGAGAGAGGGTGTAACATTCATAAGAGACACCAGAGTTTTTACGTGGAAACCCTTGAAAAAGGGGGAAAAACCATGAGGCCTGACCCAATTTGAATGAATCCACTAGTATTTGTAGTTGATTACAAATGATGCCCTTCCTTGGGAGAAGCCCTTGGCTTGATGGTACAAATGTACATCATATAGAGCGCATTACATAGTGGGAGTTACAATAATATACATGTTTGTTTAGTTTGAAAGGCCATAGTTGGCACGATACGAGGGTCCGAAAGACCGTAGTTGGTAGGAGATTTGGGTCAGGAAGATCATTATCTGGCGATGTAGGTCGAAAAGACCGTAGTAGGCTACAGAGGTCGTGAGGACCGTAGTCGGCAGGAGATCGGGGTCTGAAAGATCGTTGTCTGGTGATGGAGGTCGGAGTGCCCGTTGTAGGCGAAGAAGGTCGGGAGGACCGTAGTGGGCAGGAGATATGAGTCTGGAAGACCGTAGTTGGCAGGAGACCGGGGTAAGACCATTGTCTGGTGATGGAGGTTGGAGTGACCTTAGTAGGCGATGGAGGTCGGGAGGATCGTATTCGGCAGGAGATAGGAGTTTGGAAGATCGTAGTAGAAAGATGGTACTTCGGTAGAACTCTGGGCGTCAGGTGATGGCCTGGTGGAGCTCGGGGCCTCAAGTGACAGCCCGGTGGAAGTCCGAGCTTCAAGTAGTGGCTTGGTGGAGCATAGAGTCCCAAGTGGTGGTACGACTGAAGTCTGGGCCTCAGGTAGTGATCCTGTGGAAGTCCGGGCCTCAGATGGTGGTCCGGTAGAAGTCCGAGCCTCATGTGGTGTCCGGCGGACCAACGGCGTCAGGCGGTGATCCGGCCGAGGTAAGGGCCTTAAGTGGTGGTCCGGTAGAGTACCATCGTTAAACGGTGGTCCGGAAGAGGTGAGGGCCTTAAGTGGTTTCAGGCGGTGGTCCGGCGGAAGTTCCCCCCTCATGTAGAGAGTGGGGGTCTTTTTATATATTTTCATGAGTGACACACCTCGTAAATCTAGAGAAGATCTAGGACAGGTTCGAAGTGCTCCATCGGATGATTCGTATTGATTCCTTCTATCGTAGAGAGTTTTTCAACTGTTTAAGTGCCTTAACAATGTCGGAATTCAAAGATCTTGGGCTCGTTGGATTCGTCTCGTCAAGACGCTCGATTTGACTATAAGCATTCCATATTTGAATATCATTTCATGGCCCAAATAATGCTTTTACCCTTCCAAATGTGGTCCAGACCCCGATTCCGACCCATTTGGGCTTGGGTTGGACCAATTTTGGTGCTGTTTGGTTCGTCTCTTTGAGATGTTCAATTTGACTATAAGTTTGCATAAATTGGAATTCATACGATTCCAAATTTGATTTTGAAAGTTTTCAATTTGAATATGCCTCGAGATTCGTGCTCGATCAAAGCAATTTTTGATGACGTATCAATAATAATGAATATGTTAACATGCAATAATACTAATTATTTAACATCTTTCAATCACTACAACAAGCTACTAATGTTTATGTTGCTTAGTTTAAAACCTTTCATATATTTCTTTCTTCAAAATCTACCAATAATGTATTAGTAACCTAGTTCTAGAACCTTCTTAAGAGTAAAATTTTTCACAATTTTTTAATCAAATAGAGCATAACAAGGTC